CATAGACTTCATGTAATCATTATCAAGAACAATCAAATTGATTAAATGTGCCATCATGTAATTATCATTAAATATTTATCATCATGATTCATCAAATTGTGCATATGATATAATATGCCATATCATGAATATTATTATACTTTTTGTGGACATATATATGTAAATGTATATGTCTATGAATTATTCTACAATTCTAGCGTGGTACCACTCAGCGGTTTCGCTGAGCGTGTAGTTTGTATTTTTTGTTGACTACGCGTAGGTAACAAGAAGACAATGATGGAACCATTCCCGGAGGACATTCAGTCAGAGGAGATGCAAGGATGGCAGGCAAATGTTTGATCATCATATTTTAAAATGTGTCATGATTAAATTATTACTGTACTTACGCATTACTCTGAAATAAAATCATTTCATAATTTAAAATAAAATAATATAATAGATATATTACATTTTTTTTGATATTTTAATTTTACTAAAAGAAAAATGCAAGTGTTAATATGAACTTAAATTTTGTTTAAAATCAAAGTTTTAACCCGTTGGGTCGACCCAAACCGAATGATAATGGTGATGAACATATAGTTCCCTACTTGAACCCGCATTGACCCGAACATGAAGTAGTATGAACCCGAAGTAACCTGAAATTTTTAAAATTGAAGTCATCAGTTGTTGGGCCAACCCAGAGTCCGAGACCCAATTATAAGAGGAGGCTGTGGTGTTAATATTCCTTACCTTATGTCTTATACAAGTGAATATGATGATCTTGCAAATATTCAACTAAACAAACCATTTGAACACAACACCAATGGCAAATCTTCAAAGAAAAAGTGTAGTTTTAATATTTTAAAAAAATCAGACTATGAACTGTTTGCTAATGAGTCAAATGAAGAGTCCACTTTTTAAAAAGCAAAAAAATAATATTAAAGAACACACCTTTTGTTTTTCAAACCCACAAACCCTGGCACACTGGGCAATAGATGTTTTAACACTGTCTAGGCTGCAAACATGCCCACCGGGATGTATTCCCTGCCAAATTACAACTAAGATCAATTAGCCACCAAAATGTCCTAAACCATGAACAAAGCTCACTCAGAATGGAATAACTTTTACATGAGGAACCATTTACAACCTACCACTGCATTTTTTTTCTTTTTATTTATATACCAGAGTGCAGTAGCATAAATTATGAACTTTCATTAATGAAGGGCATATAGAAGCAAAATCCAAAGCTGCAGCATGAGTTCTCGTAGAATCCATTTCTCACTTCCAAAACCTATAAACATGAGGAATCATAAATCAAAGTTAAAAGATATGGTTACTATTAATAGGAAGACATATAAATAAATTAACACTTGTAAAAATGCTAATAGGTCATGTGGTATACTATACAAAATTAGACCTGTATACTGTGGGCTATAAGATTCCATGAGGTCAATTCTTACTCTTATTTTCATTTCTCTTTAATATTATTATCTTAATCTCCNGGGTATTGATTTGCAATTCAATCAATAAGGGGTGCTGAAAGAAGAAATATGATCTCACAATCTAACCAGCAATCCTAATAACCTTGGAAAGAATAAGCAATCAAAATATCAGCCCTCTTTGTTTAACTAAAAGCTAGACGCGGAATAATAGATGCAGATATGAAAGACGAAAGAATTGTAAAGCAACACAAAGAAAGAGTGCAGATATGAATCCCGCAATGATTGATTAAAAGGCTAAGAAGCGGTTGTTTTTGGTGCTGCCTGCTCTTCACAATTTAAATACAATAGTTTTAAGAAAAGGTCATAAAGAAGAAGATAATACCTGATGGGTTAGGCGGAGTTGCTCGATAGATGCACCATGACTGGTGAACGGGCGCAAACTTGTCAAAATGCGTCCAAAATTGAATCTGGAGTGTTTCTTCTTCGTACTGGCTCATTCGTGCACAATGGGTTTGGCTAATTCTGAGGGTCGACCGATGGGTTCCGGAAGCTGCTCACCGGAATCGATGCTTGACGGGCCAGTTTCTTGAACTTCTCCGGTCGCATAGGGGAACAGGCGCCGGTTAAAGCATATGAAATGGCGTTTTTGGGTGGCGTCTGATTTTCAAAGCCGAATGTGAAACGCTCTTGTAAACAATAAGTCCACCTCAATGGCATGTCACCTCCATCTCACCTTCCACGTGTCACCCTCACAATGAAATAACCCTACTTTAATATCTACGTAGTATTTTGTGAATGTATACTTGGTGACCAAACTATATAAATACTCTAAGGCATAATGTGTAGTGAGTAGAAATAATCATTTTTTAAGTCTCTTATGTCATTTCTTTGAATTGTGGATTTCAGATAGATAATAGTGTTTTAGGGTACATTTTTAAAAGCATTCTTTTTTTAATAAAGAAAGGTAGAAGGGTAGAGGAGTTAACGATCCACCCGATGTTTGTTAAGGGAAAAACCTGATGTCTGTTAGGGGAAAGGGGAAAAAGTAAAAGGAAAAAAATTTGAACACTATAACGAAGTCATTGGTTTGAACGACATTGGAACATGACAGATGATGCTAAAATATGTAACCCTTTTATTCCTTGATAGAGCAAAGTTTCAGAGATTATAGTGAAAAAATAAATTCAAAACAACAACTAGCATTTGAATTGCTGATGGTATAAACCAAATTTCAAATAATATCATAAAAATTCAAAAAGTGTATTTTGAAATAATGGTAAGGGTGAAAAGTATTTTCAACATAGTCTTTAAGAAATCTTGATAGTATTTAGAACCACAACAAAAAAACAAGAAAGTAAAACGCAATTGCCTTAACTCAAAACACGACCTAGATTCTGACCTAAAAATTAAAATCCAACGGATTGAACCCGCAAACCTAACGCAAATTTGATTGTCAAACACTAAAGTTAAAAGTCAACCTAGAACCTAACCCAAAACCAAACCAAAAATCAGGTCCAATCCCCAAAGTAAGAAACAAATTACCTACCCAAAACCTAACCCAACAACCAATTGCAAGGGTGCATTAAGCTATTTCCATGTTTAAAAATTGTGAATAAGTACTATAAAATTGTGAACAAGTATTGTCAAGTGGGAATCTAAGACTTACGATATACAAAGAAATGTGGCACCATATAACAACATGCATTTAAAAACATGCAATTCATAAATCTAAAATTAGCAACTCATAATCGCAAATATCCATGCTCAATATAATGTAATAAATATATTTATACATGAATATGCATAGTATATAAATATAATGAATTTATGTTTTACAATATAATGGAAAAAATACCGACCTCTTACATAATCCAATATTGAAGACATGGCAGAGAGATAACACGAGTCTATAGAAAGAAAAAATCAAAGGAAGTAATTTGACCAGAATACACATCTGAATTTGAGTACTCTTGAATACATGGAATTTAAATTACCTGAAGAATAATTTTCCAAACTGTTGCAGGTTCAGCCCTACCTGTAGGTGAAAATGACAGTTCTTTCAATAATAGAAAGAAACAACAAAGAGAAGAACAAGCCAAAGAACTCATAAGATTATACCCAGGAGGAATTTTGGAGATGGTGTCTCATCCCATCCCAAAATCGAATGTAAATAGCCCAACGTACACGCAATTGCCTTAACTCAAAACACGACCTAGAGTGTGACCTAAAAATTAAGCACCTATTTGTAATAGTGTGGTTTTGATTAGAGTGCAGCAGTTCATATTAAGAGAATTCTTTTTTGGGAGATATCCGACAAAAAGAGGAAAACCAATACCGGTACATGGTAAAATTTCCATTTTGTTGATTGGTTGAGGCGTTGAAATTTCCATTTTGTTGAAAGTACCGCCAAGCTCCAGCCAATAAAGAAGACTCGGCATGAACCCTCTCATCAGATAGGACATGAAAGAGGTTAATAAATAGGAAAATCTCTTACCAAGGTGAATATTGTCAAATTGACTCTCCAGCCAAGTATATATGTAATATTTTTCATTATTGTGTTGTGTTTAAATTTTAACGTGGTGGAACTCATCTACTAAAAAATAAATTTTCTACTACGTTTCTTGACCTTTTGGCTAAGATCATCAAAAAGGTCTAAGGGATCCTAGTGAGACGGTTACACAATAAAATGTTTTAGTCTACAAATACATTATATGTATATATAATGTTTTTGGTCTTGGGTGATTGATTTGTTTTGTTCAAAGTTTCACATGGCGGATGTGAGCGATGAAGGTAGTGGTTATATAACAGCATCGAGAAGCTCGAGCCTAAATATTCGTCTTAGATTGTAATTCAATTGTTTGGAGCTTCAAATTATATAGATCTAAGAGGTAAAATCATTTCATAATTTAAAATAAAATAATATAATAGATATAGTACTTTTTTTTTTGATATTTTAATTTTAATTAAAGAAAAATGCAAGTGTTAATATGAACTTAAAATTTGTTTAAAATCAAAGTCATAACCCGTTGGGTCGACCCAAACCGAATGATAATGGTGATGAACATATAGTTATCTACTTGAACCCGCATTGACCCGAACAAGAATTAGTATGAACCCGAAGGAACCTGAAATTTTTAAAAATGAAGTCATAAGTTGTTGGGCCAACCCAGAGTCTGAGACCCAATTATAAGAAGAGGCTGTGGTGTTAATATTCCATACCTTACGTCTTATTCAAGTGAATATGATAATCTTGCAAATATGTAACCTATTTTACATTATGACAAGTCAAACAAAGCTAATACTTTGAAGATTTTTCAACTAAACAAACCATTTGAACACAACACCATTGACAAATCTTCAAAGAAAAAGTGTAGTTTTAATATTTTTAAAAAAATCAGACTTTGAACTGTTTGCTAATGCCTAATGGTTCACTCAAAGTGCTGGTTCAGCAATGAAAAGTGCACATCTACTCCCTCATTTCATCATCCTCTCCCTCTACTGCGCTGCCTCTTGCCGAATCCCGCCACAACAGAACAAGTGTGGTAATTTCACTCTGCCACAAACCCTACTAAATTACATAGTGTGTTTGAGAGTTTATAGGCATACTTCGAAGTAGGGGTGAGTTTTGGATACATATCACCCTCTCCAAACCCTACTTTCGTGGGGTTTTACTGGGATTGTCGTTCTTTTTTATGGCAGTGGGCATTCAAGTTTGGGTGCAATGAGATATTGAAAGTACTTATCAGAGGTTGAGGTTTCAATGCCTTTGGTCTATTTCGTATCCCCACTCTTGTGACGAATAACCTGCGATTCATTGGCAATAGCTTTGGAGTAAGTCTGGTGACGAGTAACCTGCTTTAGAAATTTGAAAAGGTTATGTAATTGTACTTTTAGCGTGTTCAAAATTAATTGTCATGTTAAGGAAGTTGTTAGAGGATGAAGCTTCTTTTTACTTTTTCAGGGACGGCCATTAGTTCCATAGACCCATTGAAGAAAGTGATATCTTGGAATCTGTAAGCAATGTTCCCTTCAATCCTTTCCAGATTTTCAGAGCCATTACATCAAATAATACAAATAGGCGATTATTAGATTCGTTACAGACCTGTAATGTGGTAGGACTGAGAAGTAGACACCTGTGAGTAACGGTCACCCTTTTACCCAACTACAGGGACTGAGCAAACCTTTATGGATGTTTGTGCAAAGTTTTTGTACCCAAGGATGAATTCTGATCCAAACAAATCAGATCAGACCAGATCAAATCCAATAACATCAAATCAAGAAAAAATATAAAAGATAATATTTATATTATTCAAGGATTAAATAATAATTACTATTATTTGATTAAATCACATTACTTTATTTAAAACTACACACACCTAAATCTTAATTAATATTATAATTTTAAATATTATTGTTGTATTATTATTATTATTATTATTGTTATTATTATTATATTTCAACTAGAAATCATTATTTTATATAATTGTTTAGCTTGTAGGATAGAAATCATGCATGGAAGCAATGTTAAAGCTTAAAAAGTTTTATTTTTCATACTTTAAAAAGAATTATTTTAAAATACTTGTTTATAAAATAATTATACAAAACTTAGTTTTGAAAACTATGAATATTTTATACTTAAAAAGACTTACTTTTAAACTTTAAGATGATATAATATACTCAAGTGTGGTTTATGACAAAATTGATAGAGGTGAAAGAGATATTAGTGTTTAAAATTTTATATGATATTTAATTTGTATCATGAAATATATTATTATGTAATATATATATAGAATGTGATAATTTTGTAGAATAGAATCAATATTTTCTAATATTTGTTTATTTTAATACCGATTATTAAGTTTTCACAAAAATTAAAAAAGTTGTGATATTTAAAAGATGTTTAATATTTTTAAAAAAAGTTTAAACATATTAATGATTAGCTGATTTTCTTATTTTACTTTTTTTATGTATATATGAATTGTAATACTTTTAAAGTATTAAATTTTGTAATAATTTTAAGTTTAATTTAAATCAAATTTAAATTCATTTACACCAGATCTAAGTAGAGAAAATCAGATCTAATCAGATCAGATCAGATCAGATTCAATCAGATCAGATCAGACCCAATCAGATCAGATCAGACTCAATCAGATCAGATTAGATCCAATCAGATCAGATCCAATCAGATCAGATCGGATCTAATCAGATTAGATCCAATCAAATCAGATCAGACCCAATCAGATCAGATCAGATCAGAACTTCAAAAATTCAGATCAGATTCAATCAGATCAGGCGTACGGAAAAGAGCCCAAGTCCTTAATAATCGATTGTCATTGAATGTCAATCGACTATCTAGTCCCTCAGAACATTTCCGGATTGAAACCAAATCCTGTGAATCGATTATCCAGAGATGCTAATCGATTATTACATCTCTGAACTTTGAAGTCCCGAAGTTGTTCAATTCCTGTTTGCATTTCCTAAGCATGGGTACAAGGTTGAAATTATTCCCTGAATTTCAACAAAGAATGAAGCCTTTTCTTTCATAAAACAAAAGCATAATCACTTTTGAAACAAAGGAACAAAATCAGAAACAAAGTCATTGAATGAATAGTGTTGTTTTGGCATTTTATTCACAAAAGTCTAAAGCTTGATTCCCCTTTGTTTTCTCCCCTATATGCACGAAATTCTCCATCAATAAACCCAAGGAAGATCAGCCCAAAATCAGGAGAAGCATCTTGGAAAATCAGCTCACATGGAAGGACATTAATCTTTGATTTTTAGGAAAGAAGTAGGAAGTTTCCTTTATTGTATTTTTCCTTATATGTTGTTGTATAAATACTTCAGCCATGAGGCCATTGTAACACAACCAGATTATTGAATTAAAAGCCTTTGTTTTACTCTTTGAGTAATTCTTTAAAATAGTGTGATGCTATTTTAACCAAATTTCCTAATGAAATATCTCTAAAGTTGGTTACTTTTGAGTGCGTGTTAGGAATCTAATTTTATACATTAATAGTGATTATTAATGTGTAAAAGAAGATAAAAGCCCCAAGTTAAGATAAGAGTGTGTCATATCTCTTAACACCAACTTCGTTTATCCCTTCACTTTTCTGCCCATTTCATTCCTCACCATTTCTTTTTCCTAAACTTATTCTTTTCTCTCATTAAAAACACCAAAAAGAACTCTTTCTCACACTCCATACTTCACCCCTTCAATTCCATCATCCATTTCCTTCTGCAAATCTGCCACAAATTAGCTACTCGATAAGACCCCGGGTCTCGGGTACAAGATCTGGTATCAGAGCTCAATTTCGACGACTTTCTCAAGATCTGGTGTCAGCCCCAAAGCAGTGATCACGGAGGAAGGTGCAAAAGTTATTTCAACGTGAAACTTTCCAGTCTGAAAGTTTAACCTTTTATATACGTCTGACCGCTGATTTCACACAATTCGGAGTTGTGGTTAGCGAGATACGCCCTTCCAAAGTTGACAATGCAGTCCTGCCCAAATGCTGTCTAGCTTGCTTCTTTTGTTTCCAACGAGGTAGCACACATAAATCAATGACTCTGAATTTCTGATATATCTTTAAGGACTTCAATATCTAACTTTGAGAGTTGGAATCACTAAATTCCAATCTCTGGTTGTTGAGATATGGATATCCAAAGATACTTCAAAAATCTTGAGATTATTTATGCAAATGAGGTGATCCTTCAAGGACCGGCCTATTAAACGGTGCTATATGTGCTGTGGCTATGGCCATCACTGTTGGATGTGCACAAATAAAGAAGCCATTCCTTATGAAGAGCATGTAAGGATCGTAGCAGCATATGAGAATCAACATGATGGCAAATACGAAGATGTCTTTGATAACCATGTCAAAGATGAAGATGATGTCTTCGTAGAAGAACCAACTTCTAAGGTGCAAGAAGATTCAATCCTTATTGATTCTCTCTTAAGTTGTGAAAGCTTCTTTGAACAGGATGTCGTGGAGGATGCCACACTAGGTGATATACTCCCTCCGTCCATAAATAAAGTTCTCACTTTCCTTTTTTGTCCGTCCAAAAATAATCTTCCCATTTCTATTTTTGGAAAGTTTTTTGTATCAAAAAGTCCAAATTACCCTCCCACCCACTCCCTATCTTTTCTTTTTCTTTTTCCTTCCCCATCTGCCGTTTCCTTTCCCAATCCCAGCCACCACTTTTTTCTCTCTCTTTCCTCTCTTCTTCTTCACTCGTTTCTTATCTTCTTTCTTCTTCTTTCTTCTTCTTCTTTCTTTCTCCTTTCCTCTTCTGATTTTTCCTGTAAATTGAGGACAGTGAATCAACGACCGGGGTAAAGGTGGGGTAGTGAGGCGGTGGCGGTGGTGGGGTAGCGAGGCGGTGGCGGTCCGATCTTCTTCTTCTTCTTCAATTTCCATGGTCCAACGCCCAATCCATCTTCAACTCTTCTTCTTTGTTGTCCAGTCTCCGTCAATCCATCTTCAAAGCACCAGATTTCTTCTTGTTGTCCGTCTCCGTCAACGCCCAATCTATCTTCAACGCACCAGATTTCTTCCTTCTTCGTCTTTTTTTGTTTGTGAAATTGAATGAGCGGTGCGCAAAGGTGACAGCGAGCAGGTGACGGCGAGCAGTGACACGGCGGCCGGAAAATTTAATCTATTTGGGTCGCCAGAATTTTGTTCTGGCCGGTTGTGTTGGGTTGGGGTAGTAATTTAGGCAGGATAGGAATGGGTGGGGAAGTGGGGTAAGGTGGAGCGCATTTTGGGAAAGTCAAGGAAATTTTTACATTTTCTTAAAGTGCGTGCCCGGTCAAACCGGGAACTTTAATAATGGACGGAGAGAGTATGTTTTAAGGAAGTTGTTTCCTCAGAATATTATCATCTAATTAGTGACGAAGAATCTCATCCAATATTGAAGATTATGTGAAGGAGGTTCTACAAACAGTGATTACATTTTTCCGGACAGTACAAAAAGAGGTGCCAACTTATTTCGGAAGGAACCTCATTATTGGTGGTTCATTGAATTTCCCATTTGATCCGGGAATTCTTTTATGAAACCCCAATCAGTCACGGTGGTGCGATAGTTTGAGGACAAACTTTCTTCGAACAAGGGGAGTATGATGTACCCCTGGATGGCTCCACTAAAATCCCCAACTCTCCCAACATATCCAAAAGTTTTATTTCTTTTCTTTTATCAAAATAAAGTCTTTTCCATCAAGATGATAAGAAAATAAAAGCCAAAACCTTTGTTTCTTGTTTTTGTCTTTTCAAAAACCTTTTACCCAAATAACGCCTTCCCTTCTTTTCTTCTAATCCTGATTCGGAACCCCTAAATAATCGATTATCCTTAATTGATAATCGACTATTGTAGTCTGCAGATTCTTCTCCAAAATACAAAACTTCTCATAATCGATTTTCATTAATTTGATAATCGATTATCATCATCCTCAGAAAGTATCCAGTTCCGAATAAGTCCTTGATAATCGATTGTCATTGAATGTCAATCGACTATCTAGTCCCTCAGAACATTTCCGGATTGAAACCAAATCCTGTGAATCGATTATCCAGAGATGCTAATC